AATTCCCCAGCCAGCATGGCTGGCTGGGGAATTCTGGGAGTTGAAGTCCACCCATCTTCCAATGGGCCAGGTTAAGAAGCCCTAGAATAAAGCAACTGGAGCCAGCAATTCAGAGAGGCCCGTCTGTAATTTTCCAGCCCTCGTTTGAAAGGCTGATTTGAATCAAATCTGGATTTTGGAATTTGAAAATTGTGAAAATTTGGAATTTGATCAATTTGGATCCTGCAGACGGGATGGGGCATTTTTGGGGCACGTGGCTGTATGCCCGGAGGGCGCTTGCCCTCCTAAAGGCCAAGAGGGAACCACTTGCCTCACACATGTCCGACTTCTTGGGCCCCGGACTGCTGGACTCCACGCTGGCGCCTTCGGCCGGGCTGTGCGAGCGAATCCGGCTGCTCATCTGAATGCCCCCTTCCTCGTCCTCCGCCTGTTCGCTCTGTCCCGGACTGTCTCCCCCGGGCGGGCCCCGAGGCAAAGGGGCGTGCAAGACCTCCGTGCAGAAGAGGGTGCGAGGCCCGTGCAGCTCGCAGAAGTGGCACAGGACGACGATGGCGTTCATGGTTGCCGCCGCCCTGGAAGAGCCGAGAGATCGCCCTTGCAGCCTCCCCCTCCTATTGTGGGGGAGATGGGCGCGGGAGAAATCCAATCAATCAATCAATCAATTAAAAAAAAGATCCCTTCTGCAAAATCCTTCCTTTGACCAGTTCGTCGATCGGTTTCTATTCCGCCTTGATTCTGGGCAAGTCAAGGCGGTGTGCACGATGCCCCCGCCTCCTATTTCCCCTGCAAGAACCACAACCCTGTGAGGTGGGCTGGGCTGAGAGGGAGGGACTGTAGACACACACACACGCACACACTATTGATAATAGCGATAATATATTATCTTTATATACCAGCAGCCAATTTAACAGGAGTCTAAAGTTAGGCTCCTGTCTCTCAAGCAAGGGAACCATTGCACCCAGCGCTGACAGCCCTGCGAGGTAGGGCGGCTGCCTGCTTGCCTGCAGCTGGTCGCAGGGCTACCTGCCAGGCCAGGGCTGTGGGGGGCTGAACTGGGGTCGCCCCAGCCCTTCCTCCTCCCTCCGCCACTCGCTGCTCTGGAATCCAGACACAGGAACCCCCCACCTGAAAAATCCCCTTCAATCCAGCGAGATACCCTCAAGTTTCCCCCCCACTCCCCATAGTTCAACACTACAACTCCCATCATTTATGGGAATGCTGGGAGGTGTAGTCCCAGCACCTTTGGCTATTCCCCCCCCCCGGTTGGGGTATTAATGAACCTGCCGCATGCATATGGGTGTGATTGTGTGTGTGTGTGATCCTGTCCCCCTACAACTTGGGGACACGCTTGTCTTTCGCCACCAAAAGAGATCTGGGGTTAATACAGCCTCCCTCCCTATTCTGATACCAGCATGCGCAAACGACCCTACCTTTTTCCCCTCCTTGGGAGCCAAACCAAGCTGCTAGTCCTGACTGAGGTCGCCCCGCTGTTATTACAGAACTCGAGGGTTCCGATCTGTCGGGAGTGCGCATGCGCACCTGTCCGGGCTTCTGGTGCCGCCCAAAGCGCCTGACCTGAACTGAGCGGGAGGAACCATCTAATGCGTTCGGGGAGGGGGAACCCGGCGGGCTTTCGCCTCCCTCCTTCGAAACACCTCGTGGAATACAAGGCTTGACAAGGAACGAGAAGCACGTCTGAACAGGGCACAAGCCCTTTCGGAATCCTCACGGAGTGGCATTTACGGTTTCCCTGCCAACTTCCTCACAGGGACCCCCTACGGCTGCGATTGGTTCAGCTCACCACTACTGAGGCTTCCCGAGAACGGCTAACCTATCTGGGGGAAAAAAGGGGGGGGATTTCACCAGCAATTTATCCGCAGTTCAAGACGGATTTACACGTACCTTAGGCCCCAAAGTACCAAAGCCAAATAGATCCCTAATTCGGAAGGAGGAGGCTACCAGAATCTCCTCTTCGCGTATTTAGACTCTATTGGTTCCTCCCCCCGGAGAAATGGTACGACCCGACAAGTCCTATGACAGTCATGTGATAGAAACGCCGCAGGAGTCGGCCACTGGCGCCGAAGGGGTTAAAGTGGGCGAGTGGCTTTCCTTTAGACTTATATCTCGCTTTTCCTGCGGGAGGCCGTTTGGGCGAAAGCTGCGCCGTGTGCAGAGTCGCGCGCATCCTTTGGATGACCCTCGCTCTCGCGCTGCCCCTTCAATCCAGGTGCAAAGCCTTGCCTGCGAAAAGAAGCAGAGTTGGGGTCTCTGCCCCAAAGAGCATGCAGTCCCACCAGAGGGGGGCAAGGGGGCGGCTCCGAGCAGGCAGCCGTGTCTTTGCCCGCCGTTTCCAGCTGCAAGAGGATGAGGCTTTGGTTCTTGGGGGAGAGTTGCTCTAGGGCAGGGTTTCTCAACCTGAGCGGCTTTAAGACGGGTGGACTTCAACTCCCAGAATTCCCCAG